TCGAAGAATTCGACCGATACCTAGTCAAAGCCCGGCGTGCCGACGATCGCAAATTGGCCCACATGGAAGGAGTCCGATACGATGGCTATGAGTCCGGACCTACACGAGAACCTGCCGTATATGACGGTTTCAGTGGTTACGAGTCCGATCACGTCCCGGTTGAACGAAACCCTCGACGCAATGTGCCAGCCCGAACCCCTCAGCGACAATCTCAGTATGCTGGCACCTCGGGCGGCCGAGTCGCAGCTGGACGATACTCCGCTGGTCGGAAACGCGCAGTCATGGTCGAATCTCAGCATTATGCAGAAGACGACTTTATAGATGACGATGTGCATGTTCCAAGTCCCTCTACCGGGCGTAGATATGAAGGCGGACCTAGTTCGCGTATGGAGCCTCGTTCCAGGGCTCAGCCCAGACCTTTGCCTCGAAAGGATGAGGATGTGTACGATGAGGAGTTATATCCGGATGTCGAAGATCATGTTGTGGAAGAGGAGTACCGTCTTGCGGCGGATCCTGATGCTCCTAGATCCGCTCCTCGCAGCGTGAAAAGAAGCCCCAGATACACGGGTGATTACTCACCTGTGCCTGCTCGCAGGGCTAGAGAGGCGACTCCCAGGTCCCAGCATCTAGAGGTGGAGTAGAGTATTCCCATATAGCATGCGTGCGCATAGCGATACTATTCCACGCCCTACGATATCCCTTCATAGAAGCATTTTTATGTATCGTTTCATCAGTTATATTGCATTATATACCCATTATCTACAAACCCCCCTTTCCGTGATCCATGCTTTGATATGATAAACTAGTATATATATTGACAGCTCAGCAATAATCATCAATCCTCCCCGCCCCAACCAACTGCATCACCTTGCCCCCCTCCGCAAAAACCAACAAATCATCCGACCCTTGCTCAAAAGCAGGCCAGGCAAAATAACTCTCATTATTCGGGTTTGCCGGCACATTCCCAACAGCAAGCCGCACCGGCCCCCGCGACGGATCCTCCAGAAACGAAAGCCACAGCGCTTGCATAGCGTAACTCACGTCCCACTCATACTGCGTAGAGGGACCACCATACTCGTAATGTGTACCGAATAGCATAGGGAGCTCAGCGCTATGATACGCCCCGAACCAAGGCAGGGGTGAGATATTGGTGAAGTTGCCTGCGTATTGGTACCGGTAGGTGGTGAGGTTTGCTAGTTTGCGGTTCTTGACTTCCTCTGCGACGGGACAGGCGATAATTGATTCAGTTATTTCGAAGAGTGTGGATTTGCTGGGCCCCGCTGGGGTGAATGATACGAAGCCGGCGCCTTCGTTGGTGTTGCTTCCTGTTACCAGGGGCTAATTGAAGGGAAGATGGTAGGTTAGCTGGTAATTATTGCCGAGTGTAGGGAAGTTGCTTACAATCTTTGCGACCTTTCCTGCAACAGCACGCTCGGTCCAGTTTGCGAAAAAGGTCTTGTTGTCGACGGCTGGAGTGAAAGAGATGGATGGCGAGCCGGAGTATGTTGAGAGAGCGGTTTGCAGTTTCCGAGCGGACACGTTTCGCATGCAGCTGAGTTCTTCAGTGGATGAGAGTCCGTCGCAGCCTACTAGGCTGGCCAGGAAGGTGAAGTTGGTGTGTGCGTAGTCTTCGTTGTCAACTATATTTGGAGCACCGGAGTCGGCTATGAGAGCGGCGACGATGGGGTGTTCGGGATATCCGTATGAGTAGGCTGTTACGCTTGCTGCTCCGGCGGATTGACCCCATAGGGCAATCCGAGCGGGATCACCGCCGAAATTGGCGATGTTGGCTGCGACCCATTCGACTCTGTGGTTATGGTGGTTAGTTTGGGGGAATTTTTTTTTTTTTTTTTTTTTTTTTTTTTTTTTTTTTTTTTTTTTTTTTGGCTTGATTGGAGTGGTTGACTTACGCCAGTCTTTGGTCGAGTAAGCCGACGTTCGGCTCAGATAGCCCTTCGGCGTTCGGGAAGCCGAAGACGTTGACGCGATAGCTAGCAGGGCATTAGACGATGAGCATGGGCTTAGTTAATGGGGCTGGCATTTACTTCATGATGACCACGATGTGAGACTGAGTCCGTTGCACCCACTTGTCGGGGATTTTGTACAGCGACGCTTCCCCTCCAGATGTGAACCCACCTCCGGGGATATAAAGCAGCACTGGTAGTGGACGTTGCTGGGATTGAATGTTCTCAATACGAGGTGCCCAGATTGATAGGTACAGACAGTCTTCTGAGTCTCCTCCGCTGATGAGAAATCCCGTTTCATAGGTGGTGTATATCGTGGAGCTATTGCTTGTCTGTTGGATACATGATGAGGGCAATGCGAAGGCATTGACTGTACCATTAGGCTGTTTCTTCACGGGACTACTAAAGCGGAGGTCACCAACAGGTGGCTCTGCAAATGGGACGCCAAGCCATTGTCGAACATCAGGGGCTGTCTGATTGAAGAAGCCTTGTATAGGGCCGCTGGAGGTTTGGACTAGCAGTCCTTCCCCATTTGTGTCTCTTGTAGCTGAAGAAGTGGGAGCAGCTACACAATGAGAGACGAAAAGCGCCGCTATAACGCACAGACGCAAACGCATCATGGAATTGGATATGGGTTGGGCGGTGGCTCATGTTGGATGAGGGGTGAAAAGGAGACTGCTTTTATACCTTTCCATGAGGACCACAGTAGCCCCTCAGTTGCGCGGCAAAGCGTTTCGGCAGACGATCAAGACCCTTTGACGCCTCGTGGAAAGGATAAATGATACAACACCTCGCTTCTGCAGGCTAAGGGATAAGCCGCCAAATATCTCCCCGGACGACCCCAGATTGTGGGGTCTGATATGCCGAAGCCAAGCTCACTCTACATTTGGAGCAAAAGCATCCGGTAAATAACACGGTCAAAGACTTCGTGTTGCAGTGGACATAATCTATAGCGGATCTGTAGCGAGCATATCTGTATATGCTACTGCGGACGACGGTAACGTTGAGGAAGTATCCATGGCTCGCCAACCGTTAACTTCGGGCTCGCACCGGCCCGTCTGCCTTGTGTACCAAAGAACGGATGCACGTTGAACCCAATGGATTCATGAAAAGCAGATACTTCCAATATAGCATCATGGATTCGCTTCGGTGAATCCCTGTTTGGACCCTGCGGGTGGGATGCGGAGGGGAACTGGGATGTGCGTGTGCGGGGTAAATCTGGGGTGAACTTTCCCCCAACCGAGGCAGAAAACTGATGAAAATTGCCGCCTTGGACTCGGTTGAACATTCTACCTCCGGACATAGTCATCAGCATTCAGAGGCCTTGAGGGGTATTCGATAATTTAGATGCACAGTTGAGCTCTACAGGCTGTCTGAAGCTTGAGTGAGCTAGTGAGTGAGCGAAGGTATGCTGTTAAACAAGAGGCTTACGCATGGCCATTATGCGCCGTCACACATTAGTATGATAAGCCTCCGGGTCTATAGCACAGATACTAGGCTTACTTTAATGGAGGGCCTGAGTTCACTGAAATTATGCCTCAGTAAGCATAAATGAAAATGTCTATCATTGACACAGTATGGCTTGGGAAATGTCCAAAAGAGTGTTCGCAAGCGGAACATTGCCGCTAATAATCCTCAGCGATGATCAGGTTCAGTCACCCTGATTTATCCTGCCTGTACCAGTGATCTTATAGTCGGCAAAGACAAGACCCTTTAGTGGGTAAGTGTTTCGCGATGCGGTCTAACAAAACAGACGCAAATGGCTGCCTGAACTTGAAGACCTCAGGCACCACACCCTGGCTTAACCTTCCTGATTGGGATAAGCAAAACTGCTCCACGGCACCCCAAATCCTGAACCAAGGTTTACTGAATCGGGATTCCCCGCCTTAGTGAGTGTCATCCGGGTTGCCTGACTGGGGAGACCGCCCATTTTCCAATCTCACAACAAAGAAGACCTTGCTGGGAAAAAAGCCGGTTGTGTCGGCGAATTTCCTGGTTTTGGTAAATAATCGGTTAGACCAAGCAAACTGAAGGGGTGACCCTTTTCTTGCTAGCAGCCATCTCAATGAGTCGCTGTGAGTTTGGCGGATTCCTTGAGCTTGGATGTCGACATAAACCGGAGTTGAACATATTAGCGAAGCTGTCGCGATTGGTGCTGTGCTCTGGAACTTGTAAAGAGTATCTATCTGCTCAGCTCCTTCTTCATCCAATTAATGGGCTTCTGGTAATCGTAGGTCTGCAGTATTACATTATGTAACCACCCAGCAACAGCGGTGCTGCACAGCGCATTGCTGCATAGTGTTGCTAATTAGAAGTGATAAGACCGCTCATACAACAGTGAGCCTTGAACAATTATGTGTTGCGCTGCATTATGGCAGATTTCACGTCCGATTTCGCATCATTATTGTCGATCAACGCTTTCACTTCGCGCATCAAGTTACCCATGTCCGACAGTGAAATGGACAAAAGGGCTTTGGCCGCGCCAATATTGCCGTCCATCGCCGGCATTTACATAGTCAAGGAGCATTAGACTCAAATAAGGTGCGTTTAGGAGAGGAGGCTATTGAAGGGAAAGATCAATAGGGTCTTCCGGAAGGAAATATTCGAAACCTTGGAGAAAGTACCCGAGAAGCAAGAACGCCAGGGCAGTATTTTTTGATTATTTGAAGTAGATTCTGCATCCTAATCTTCTCAATACATAAGCCTTGGAGACAAAGTCAACACAGACAGTTCTTTTATGTTCGTCAACTAAAGATCTTTCCACTACATGATGAAGACCGGCCTTCATACCGAACAAAGGGCAGAGTATGGGAAAAGACCAAGGCGGCAGAATCTCGGACTTGGTGTCACTAATTCGGTCTTACTTCTAGGATTAGCACAGCCGAGAAGGGTATAGGACGTCTGATTTGGACATGCAATGAGGTACACAGCATTGCATGAAGGGGAGAGGGGCGGCGCTCAAAGATTTATCCACGGCGGTGCATGCCGCTGCAAACTATCTCGGATTACATTGCAGTCGTACTTCTATAGTGTCAATTAGTGGTTGCGTCCTGCATAGTGCTCATGGTCTGACACTGAGTACATTAGTCCCCTTTCAAGACAATTGGACATCCTCGGTCTGAATGCGCTCGGAGGAATTGCGAGGGGAGTGGGTAAGACTGGTTCAGCCCACAGGGAAGCAAAATTACCGCCATCCCACGCCCAAAGCCTTAACATTGAGCTTGTCTGGTATTTTGGAGACCGGCTAAAACAGTCTTGGCGTTTCTGAACTGGCTTTTGAGTCCGGGTGATGGAGGGCCTCACCATGCACGATGACATTCTACCGGAACCTTATGTTCGGGATTGGATATGGCGACAATGAGAAAAATTGGATACTACACATGACCTTAACTTTACCAGGGAGAGCTTGTTGACTCGAAAGTTTACACCGGACAAGATAAGCAATAAAACGGACAGCAGCTTATACGCCCTGTGGAATAAGCAATTTCGCGGCACATCGGCAAAGTCAACTGGTTAGTTGGTGGGCGCGCGATTATTAAATGCCTCGGTGGCGTTGGGTCATTCGACGGTAGGGAGAGTGCCACGCCGACAACAAGCAAGCTAAGCATTTCCAGACTCCATTGGAAAATCTCCGGGACAAGAAGGAGATCAAAATCTGACTTCCCGATCGGACCACTCGACTTGCTTTGCGCTCCAGTTGCCCGGCTTGGCTGGTAGTAATGCTTTTCCCACTGGTGGGGAAAGTCCCGTGGAGTCACGCGGCCCCCCCAAATTCCAACATCAGCGCGCCATGACATCTTCCCTCCCATGGCCTGACCGCTCAGATGCCTTCCCAGCTCACCTTTCTCTGCTTTTTCTTCATGCTGTCTTCTTTCACTAGGCCCCCCTCGGATGCATCGAGGACCACCTGTGACTGGGTAAGTCCTCTGCCAGACTCTACTAGTTTATGATTTCATCCCGCGTCCGGTGTAATAACCTTAGTATAGCCGCTCCCCAATCAGTCGCCCAAGTTGAGAATTCTTTCAGACCGGGGTGGTGGGCCTGGGGCTCGGACAACATCCGTCGCTCGCACCCCTCGGATAATGGATTCCAATTTCTAAGACACAATACAGCCAGTAACGTGGGCCTGGCCTGTATCTAAGTGCCTGGACGCGGGGCTAAAGCCTGGGGTGCTTATTGCGGAGATAATAGGAACCACGGTTGGCGTGCCCCAGGACAGCCTAGAGCTCCAATTGGTGGCCGGGTAGCGACTGGAGCTAGGCTAGCAACCACCCCGGCTGTTGGAGAGTCGCCGCGCTAGCACCAAGGCCAATCAGCAACTGCGTTGCATAAAATCCAGCCATGTGGCGACTGGTGGGATATCAGACACGTTACAAAGCCGTACACCGTACGGCCCAGGTCAGCCCGAGCATACCACTACCCCGGTGAGAAGCTGTGGTATCTTTCTCTCTCGGCCCTGGTCCCCCATGCGGAGTATTTCGTACTGACCAGGGGGTCCGCTATGTGACTCGCACATCGGCATCCGTCTTTCACTTGCATGCGGGTCCACGGCAGGCCTCTGGACGTCATCTCGACCAGCTCGGTCGGCAGCAGTCCGGTCTCCAATGACCGGAGAAGCGGATTGATCATCAGCCCATGTAGAGCTTACAGAAACCCCGCGACGGATTGCTTTCGGGCTAGCTGTTGGCCTGTTTCTTTTTGTATGAGCAAGTCCCCGGACTTGAGAATGACTATTTCTCTCTCCCTCCATTCTCCTTTCCCCTGTTTCATCTTCTGCTTCCTTTCCTGCAAAGCCAAGGTCCTTGTGATACAGGCAATTCGGCACAATGCAGGGCCAAGCACTTCGTTATGCCCAGATCTTCTTAGTCGCTTGTCCCTCCTTTATCCTTTTCGGTTACAATCAGTCCGGTGTCGGAGGACTCGATGACTTCCCCTCCTGGGTGAGGGTATTTCCGGAGATTGACACAGTCAACACTACTGGGGCCCAAGAGTCTCACAATGCCACCGTTCAAGGAGCCGTGGTTGCGTCGTACACAATAGGAGCCCTCTTCGGGTCACTGATCTGTACAATGATCGGTGACATGCTTGGACGTCGCCGATCGATCTTTTCTGGCGCACTCATTGCATTGATTGGTCAGATACTGGAATGCACCGCCTACTCTCTAGCTCAATTCGTCGTTGGGCGAGTGATTTTGGGTTTTGGTGTTGGCATGCTCAGTGCGACTGTACCTGTCTGGCAATCCGAGTGCGCGCCTGCCGCCCAGCGAGGACGGAACGTGGTGTTGACAGGCATGTTCATCGCGTTTGGTTTCGCTTTGACGCAATGGGTAAATTTTGGTTTCTACCACATGGAGAATTCGCCTGCCTCATGGAGAGCATCACTTGCCATCCCCGCCGTGTTTTCGTTCATAATCATGGGCAGCATCTTCTTCCTCCCAGAGTCGCCGCGTTGGCTCGTCATGAAGAACAAATCAGACGTAGCACAATTTACTTTGGCGTCTCTGAGGGGACAAGAAGTAGACTCGCTGGAGGTTGTCGCAGAGCTACGGGCTTACGAGCTTTCTCTGGAGGAATCTTCGAACAATTCACTTAAGCTCCGAGACATTTTCACTATGGGAGAAGAGAAGCTCTTGTACAGGTTTATCCTATGTGTCACTCTCCAATTCTTCCAGCAAATGACTGGTGGAACTCTGATCTCGGTCTACATTCCTCTTATCTTCCAAACAGATCTTGGACTCGGTACCAGTCTGTCGAAGATCCTTGCGGCATGCGCGTTGACCTGGAAATTCCTGTGCTGTTTTGTGGGCTTTGCCATTATTGACCGCATGGGACGACGCACAGCGTTTATGGTCAGTGGCGGTGGCATGGGCATGTGCATGCTGGCATTGGCGGTCTCCAATTCCTTCTCCAATAACCATACCGCATCCATTATCTCCGCCCTGTTCATTTTCATTTACAACTTCTTCCTTCCGATCGGCTTCTTGGGCGCCAACTTCCTTTACCCAGCCGAGGTTGCTCCTGCGCGTCTTCGTGTCGCCATGCAAGCAATTTCGATTGCCAACCAATGGCTCTGGTATGGCTCTCACTCATAATAATTCAACTGCCTTCCAACTTATGCTAACTCTTCTCTCCTGCAGGATGTTTGTCGTCGCAATGATCACGCCCGTCGCCATTGACAACATCGGCTATCGCTACTATATCGTCTACGCCATCATCGGTGGCATTATCCCTCCCATCATCTACCTGTTCTACCCAGAAACAAAGGGCCGGTCCCTTGAAGAAGTTGACGAGATCTTCCGTGATGCTCCCACCATCTTCTCTGCGGTGTCGATGTCGAAGCACAAGCCCATGGGAGATAGGGCCATGGAGCGAGTCATGGAAGAGAAGGCAACTGTGGAAGAAATAGAGTAAAAGCATAGAAGGATAAACTTGGATGAAATTATGAGCCTTATGTGTCTTAGATAGACATAGATCTACACTGCCATGATACACGTCTGCTATTTTTCATACATGATTTTGGTGACCACCTTGCTATTTGCGTACGACCACATCCATGATTGTCAAACGCACTTCAGGACTCTGAAGAATATCATATCAGTGCCCAGAAAACCGGTACTATATTATGAGCCCACAGACGACAACCTAGTCTCGTGTTAAACTGTCATGTTGAATCCCTGTAACCAGATGCTCAGCCGAAATCATCAACTATGTAGAACCAACTACTTTTGGTGGCAGGACAATTTACAAAAATAAAAACAGACATTACTATTTTCAGTTCTATATCCGGTCGGACTAATTGCATTCAAAAGATACTCCATCCTATGACATGGCTTCAACAGGATCATTCACATCAGCGCAAGAACATTTGGTCTCGCTTACAAGCGAATCTTCTGCGCTTTTTTTCAAGTGAACACGTCGATAGGGATGTTAGCACACCGACCACCTGTGCACTGGAGCTTAGCGGCGTCTCAGACTCTCTGTGAGCATATTGCTAGGTATTGATAGAGCCCCACTTTGGGATCAGCACAGTTAGAGTGCTATGTATATCAACTCAACAAGCAGAAAGATTTGTAATGTTTAGCACACGTTTGGCTTGGTATGTGGTGTTCTCTATGACGATATTGCCGTTCTTAGCACTATTCATTAGTTTGACGGATAAGTAGGGTGTCTTCGAGAGAAGCATTGTCTTTCGCTATAGCCGCGAATTGCTTCAATTGAAGCTAGTGAGAGCAGATGGAAAGGCTGCTGTGAGTGCCCATTTGGAAATGTTGAGAAAGACTGGAAGAATGGACATTAGTAAGACTAACAATGAGAGTTTAAAAGATCCGAGAACAGGTCAACTGCAGGCTTTACAAAGTGCATTGAACGCAAGACTGTCATGACCTACGCAACATGACAGAATTCTTCGGTCTCCTCTACACCGAGTCTGTTGGCGCATACCATTAGGCTTCTATATTGTTTGTGCATTAGTTCCATATACTGCCTCCTGCCCTACAGGACCCTGAACCCTCCACAAGCTTGAACTCTCACGAACACACTGCAGATCGTGCGGGGTCCGCAACGTCTTGTATGCTCGATTGGTGGAAATGTGTTCATCCCATCTGCAGGGTCTCTGCTTACCGTGCATAAAAGTGGGGAAGCAATAACCACGCATAGCAATATCGGGTTATTGCTAGAGTTGCTGCTGCTGGATCCTGATATTTAACGTATGAAATGTATTCGGCCCGCTTCTATTTCCTTTAGAACTTTAATTTCATCAGTGAGCTAAGTCTCAGGGTACAGGTTTGGCCAGGATGAGGCTTCCAGTGCTGCTGAAACTTGTGGTCACTTTAGCAATCTTATGACAGGCGTTGTCAGTATCTAACAGCTCAGGTGGTGCTGTGACATGGGACGAATATAGCTTGATAGTCAATGGGGAGAGAAAATTCATCAAGTATGTGTAAATCGCGCTGTCCCAGCCTTGGGCGTGACTAACTATGGGCTGTGTAATTCAGTCAGTAAACCTTCCATGAAACTTAACATGGGTTATCATTTTATCGTCATCGCTCCTTCCATCCGTTAACAGTCTTCCCGCCAAGAAACATTTCCAACAAAAGACAAACAGTCTCAATACAATCCTTTCAAACTAGTTATTCTGGTTGCATCCCTCCTCTGGCATGATCTTTCCCGCAAATCGAGCAAAAAGCGTCATAATAAACCTCAACTCTAGAAGATCCCAGCTCGGCAGTGGCAGTCTCTCCGGATCAGGAGTTGTCAGAGTGATCCAATCCCCAGATATCAAGTCCTTGAGTTCCTCCGATTCCAAGCCAACCAGTTTGACTGTGGTCCCCTTTCTGATGCGAGGCGGCTTGCTGAAAATACAGATTTTGTCGCTCCAGCAATAATCCTGCAAAGGTAACCAGAAGATTTGCACCTCAAGTTCCCTGTGACGCTCCCTATGTTTTGGATGAGGTCGGAGCACAAAGTCCCCCCACTCCCAATACTTTCGCAGTACAGGGCTCAAAGAGATATAATTCTGGATAGTCTCTACCGCCTCAGTATGTGGATGATTGGGAAACAATGGTAGCTTCCATCTCTGTCTTGTCTCAAATCTCCACCATCCGAGAAGGTCGAACCAACAAAAATGACAACCAAATCCTGGAAGTGGGTGGCTTGGACAGATATTGCAAAGCATAGAAGTTGAGTGAGATGTAATAACACATTTTTCGGCGTCTCTTTCTCGGACTTTAGCCATGATAGTGGAGCTCAAATCATCGTCGCTGTCTGATTCTATGGTGGTGTTCTTTTCATCCACTGAGCCGTCATAGATACTTGCCCAGGATAGCTCGGTGGTATTGGTCCACTCTTTCAGAAGGTGCATTATACTAAAAGTATCGCGATTCTTGTGTCCGTCAGCCGCGCACCATTCTATATATTCCTCAAAAAATTTCATCTCGCAGACCAGTAAAATAGCCCAGGTATAGCGTGGCACCTTCTCCTTCTCATCATTGCCAGGCTCCTGGAAGGCTTCTTTGAGAAGGGCAAGACGTTTACTCGTCCGGAAAGTGAGACTGCTTCTGTTTTCCTGGAACAACTCCATAGGGACGCTGATTGTTTAGATTGATAAAGAAATAAATCTGGTACGGCTTGTATGGTCAAGAACCAGGTCAGCGTTAAGCCAATTTTCGTGATTTTTGAGGAGCTCCAGTTCACCCACCTAGCAACGCACTGGGACAGGATAATGTCAAGACTTTTCGCGGTGTAGATGGAGGAGAGAATAACAGGCGAGGTTGGATGTTGAAAGATGCTGTAAGTAGACTTGACTTGTGAGCAGCAGCTATCGACTACCGACATATACAGAAGTCAGAAGAGTTACACGGAGCCAAAGCAGGATATTCACTATTTTTTGAACATTCACATTAGCCAGGTCTCTCAACACCTGTATTTTTTTCCAAGGGCAGTGACATTCACTCCCATGTCCACCCCACTATATATGTGGGATTGTATGACTTTGGGAGTCCGCGGGTATCTCCGGGTAGTACTAATGATGGACTTATGGTCTTGTTTGATGTTTTGCCTAGTAGGTCACTGATTACAGGCGTATATCCACTAGTATCTTCTTCATTTGTGGGAATAGCCACAGATCTTGCATGTCTTGGCATCGTCGTATAGTGTACGTTCATTCTCGTCGAAAATCTTGGGCTGTCCCCTTTTTATACTTTCTCTCTCTTCCAATAGCTCTCATTTTGAGTCAGTGTACGGCACTAACTCAAAAGTTCGTCTGGTAGATAATACCATATAGTATTCAACGACTATTAAAGACCGGCCAATTGGATATAGATTTGAAAATAAGACGAGGAACGCAATTTAACGTGTAATTCTTCAACCAGGAAGTAGGTTCACAGTCTCCCAATTACCGATTTTGCCTTCACGTAATTAAATTACTGACAATCAAAGGGTTGGTATCAAGAGCGTGGCGGCGCAGTGGGCACAACACGTTCCGAAAGCCGTGTTGCAGGCCACTATCGAGGCTGGTGCTGTAGCACCGAGTGTGGCTCCCCAGGTATAGCCTGCCGCTGAATAACAAGCCATCACAACAGCTGCGCAACCGGCCTGACAGATTCCGTAGCCCACTGGGCCAGCATGGGCATAGCTGGCAAGAACGAGGATGGTAGTAATAGCCAGATATAGTTTGTTCATGGTGTGGATGCTGTATGAAGATTGATTTAGGATGGTAGTGTCTGCGAGGACAAGATTGCAAGCCCAAGCAGTATATTTATCTTCTGGAAAGGGGCGCCAGAACTAAGTAAAGATGATGTAACTACTCAAATCGTGTGGTTCTACCAAACTACATTTACGAAAGCTACATCGTTCTTTGGGCGTCGCTTCGGCAGTAGACCCAGGTACCGCTTGTCTGTAGGCCCCAATTAGCTCTGGATCCCGCGCGTATAGAAGAAGGTTTATGAGATGCTAGTAGGTATATCTAGGATAGCACATTGTTTATAGTAGTATTAAAGAATAAGAAAACAGAAAAAGAGCCTTGAAGAAGATAATACCACGTTAATGAGATAGATCTGATGGAGGTGGAGAAATACGAGCTTCCCAGAATGTATCTATATCTCGGCAGAAAACCAGTCTCTGACCGCTCTAAACACCGCTCAAAGCGGCAGAACCTAGTCGACCTCGTTGAAAAAAGCCCGGATTTAAGCGGATTTAAGGCTTTACAGTCCGCGAACAAGTGCTTGGAAAATTGTAAACTTTTTGACCGCTTTGGGCGAGGTGGCAGAAAATAGTCGGCGCTACTCAATCCATAACTAGTAGTGTAACTCTGCTTTTGGAAGGCTTCATCCAGAACTTACATCGATGTGCTAAGACCGATAATTAATGTCGAATTTGATGCTCCTAGCTATTTTTCATCGGCTTTCTACAGTGTTTGAACGCGATAGCCTGCTTGAGGTGAAGTTCTCCTATGTGGATGATATTTTAGAATTTATATATTGCTCTAAATACACACTGGGCGCGGTGTGAGAATACTCTAACAATAAATCACTGATAATCGAAAAACAGTTGATATCACTGAAACTCTAGTACTCAAAACCATTTCCCTTGCGTAGCTCTAGAAAGTAAGGATTCAAGCTTCCTATGACTTTAACCTAGAAACAAGACCAAGGATGTATCGCTTCAAAGACACCGCAGGACAACGCCCACTTTGAAGACCGCCGTATCCCAAATCGCTCATTGACTGAGCGGGTGCATTCTGAAGGAATGGTATTTCAGTCTGCGTGGTACCCTTTTCGATATCTTCGAGAAAATCTTTCCTTTCCAATTCCGGCTGATGGACTGCAGCAGTGCGTGATGGTACAGCAGGTATTTGTGGATGTTCGCTCTGGGGTTTTCGAATACTCTGCTGAAACTCGAAGAAATCATCAGGATCATAGATTTGCTTCAGCTGCCGGAGTCTTTCGTAGTTGGTATCGTAATATGCATCCCACCAGCGAGTCAATGTATTGTCGATGAAGTTCACATACGCCGCTTTCCCTCCAATGGCATTTTTCGTTAGCTCGTCTCGGAGTCTTTGGACTTCTCGAATCATTTCCTTCTCCTTATCTTCATTATCCCAGCTTGCTTTCATGGAAAGTGCGTACTCCCCGGTGCGCCAGGGAAAGGCTGTTTCATATGGCTTCTTTTGGCTTGTTTGTTCCCCAATATGATCCCAAAGAACGTGACACCTCCCATTTTCGCTTTCCAGCACATGTCCTTTCTTTGATATCATCCAATCGGTGATGAGATTGACAACATGTTCTGTCATTCTACCCTTTTCAATGATAACAGAGGAGTGGTATTGATGGACTTGAGAATGGTTGGCAAACGCCTCACCTCCAACTTCCCAGTCATAGAATTTCATTTCCTTGAGTGTGTTCACATCTGGTTTACCGCGCAAAATCTTAGCCAACTCGCTGTCGCAATCATTCATTCCGCCGTTGTACATAATCGTAATCTCTCCCCAGAGCCTTTTCCCCTTGGTCTCGTGGTCTCTCCGGTATCGCCAAAGCGCGTCGCCGCACAGCGCTGGGGACAGGGGGGTTTGATCCCAGTTTTCAATGGTGTCAATGAACCTCTTCCTTGACTTCATGTCTTCGACTGACCATCCTAGTGTACCACAAGTCACCATTCCTTCGGGGTGATTGAGCGTATGGACCTTCAAGAAGAACCCGGTTGCGACGCCAAAATTACCGCCCCCTCCGCCACGAAGTGCCCAGAAGAGATCTGGATGATTCTCTGCGCTCACGATATCCAGTTCTCCATTCGCTTTGACGATCTCTATCGCTTCGATGCTGTCGATGCCCAGCCCGTACGAGCGGGAAAATGGGCTTATACCACCACCAAGTAAGAAACCACTCACGCCGACGGTTGGACACTGGCCACCCACGACGACAAGACGAGGATCTCTATCATGCAGCTCTTTGTATACGTCCCTCCACAGCGCACCACCAGATACGTAGATTATGTCATGATTAGGCTGGATGACTACTTTGTTCAACATACGCATATCAAGAACGATACCATTGTCGTTCAAACAGTGCGCAGCGTTCGAGTGTCCACCACTTCGGATGGTCAACTTCAATCCCTCTTGAACGCAGAATCGAACTGTTGCCACGACATCCCATGCCGTTACTGCATGCACAACAGCAGCAGGGCTTTTCAGACGGTAGCGGAGATTTCTAACCGAGACTGAGTATCTGTAGCCCTGTGACCTGGGAAACAGCACCGAGCCTCGGTGTAGCCTTGACAAAAGGGGCACGATTTTTCTCCGAGCTTCATCTGCTTCTCGTCGGGAAGCTTCGTCTTCAAGCAACGCAAGGTCCACTTGATGCTGAATTTCGGGGTCTTTCCATCGAGGATGGGTTCCGATCTCTGCCATATTGATTGCCCTTCTGTACGCGTCTCGGGCTGCAGATTTCGAATGGGAAAGTGGAGGTCACAAATTCTTCGAAATGCGACTAGAAGTAACGTCCTGAGACTTGTAATCGTCGATGAGTTTGATGTTTCTCTCTTAAGAGTGAGTAGGAAAGATGGGAGACCATTTTTAAAGAACAAACAAAGACCAACGAGTACACCCCCTTTATATATCTTTTAGCTGTTTCCGTGGACAGCGGGGAGGATAGGGTGATAATGTTCGATCCCTCATGGAATAAGTGGCCCTTGCTAATTCACATAGACTCAATGAGGAAAGGTAAATGACGAAACCAGTGGCTCATGCGTTGTCATGAGATTTGACTTCTTCTCAACGGCTCCTCATCTTCCCACTCTACATGGTGTGCTGTTAAGAGATATGGCTACGTGTAAAGCGTTCATGTCTTCTCTACTGCGTGTTTTCCTCGAGCGGCCTCTGCTCGCCCGCTTCCTAGGACGTTCTATAGGGTTTGTATCGGTAAGTTGTCTGTAAGACTCCCGAGTTATCTTGGTAATAGGTTGCCATACCCAGTTAGAGTCTTCAAGCATTTGTACCGAATATGGTAGGTTAACTCCAGCGTTGCGTGCAGGATGGTGTTAAGAGCTATATTCGGGATCTTGATTTTTCAATATACTGCCATTGAAGCAAAGGAGGAGTATGATGTAAACGCTGCAAAGCCCACTATCGTGCTAGATGAGGTAGTTCAGGGCGGCCTGTGAGGTGTCTCGTGCAAAACTCGACTCTGGCCTATCAGTCGCAATTTTAGCACATCCAGCTAGCGACGAGATGGGCATTAACTTTCCACCTGGCCGTAGAGGGGTACATATGGCCCGATCAAGCAGTAGCGCTGCTATACCGTCGACGATGAAATGCTTCATCATAACCCCGTTTTGGTATCTTGCAGGAGAAGTCTTCGCAATTGGTAGCCCGGCATTGAAGGGAATCACAGGGCAAATTTCATACTTGCTTTGAGCTATTCAAGAGCCACTGAGGCAGCGTTATCTCTATCCGATCAACTGTGACGAAGATCGAGAGGGACTGAAGCTTCACGCTCGCTGCTCCACCGCCACGAACCGCAGCGAACACGACCCTATTGGCCCGGGAGAGTACTTCCTCTACCAATGCTCTCTCGATAGCTGCTTGTAGATCTCTAGTGCCTTAAGTATATCTGGGTTTACGTCATAGTGTTCTATAACATGCCAATCGAGTACACAAGAGGATAATGCGAGTGATGAAATGCTCACCAGTATTTGCGGCGTTGACAAGACAGGACAACTTGCCCCTCGGTGTAGTCATTGCCGACTCTGATGAAAGGCGTCCTAGGAGAATTATTCGGGAAGCACATGATTCCCATGCAGTTGGCATCGCGCAGATGCTTTCCTCCTTTACCAGCCCACCATCTCACCGTGGCTGTCAGTGATTCACGGACTGGTATATGCAATCTAGAAGCCTTCCTCTTGTATATCGCCGCACAAGAATCGCTTTCTGAGTGTAATACCTCGCGGCCTGGGTACTGCAAGCGGGGAACTTGTATTGTGGGCTCTCGCATACGCCAGGCTTGCATGATTCATTCGGGCAAAAAGTTAATCTAAAGGCCACACTGCCGACTCCACGTGTTTGTGTGCATAGTTTTACTTGGCTTCAAATTCTGCAGGCAGCGCCCATTCGTCGCAGAACCTTCCTGTTTAGGAAGGTTCTGCAGGATCAAGAACTCTTTTTTTTTGTTCATCTAGTTTCCCATCTTGGACTGAGCAAGGTTCACGTGGTGGCCGACGAGGTCGGTCTTCTCTCAGACAATACTGAGTTTATTTGGCCAGGTGATTTTGAAGCTACAATGGCGTTTTCATAGCGATGTTCTCGGATTCGCTGCTGGCGAAGGCAACGTTACAGGATCTTGAGTTTATTCCGTTGCATGGGTCCGCGAGAGACTCTATACTGATCGCCATTGATGAAGGAAGAAAGAAGCAAAAAAAGGTCTTTGTTCAAAGATTAAGCTGGAAAGCAACCAGGAAGCTACCTACCCCTGTACAACAGGAGCCTAGTGAATTTAAAAGAGTGGTTGCAATAATGATATCCGCCTACGGAAAATGATGATTTAGTTGCCTACGCCCTAGTAGGGTGCAGCTTTATCTTCTCTATTAGGATCAAACTTACTGGGGTTATAATTATGATCATCCCTAATCTTTTGCCTATCAGTCATCGTTATATAATCCCCCGGGCAAATTGGCTGACCTGAGCCACAATGCCTATAATAATGCTTAAGGTAATGACCGCTTCTCCTCGAAGTGTGAGGGGATGGACATACCTCTTGTTCTATTTGACACATATATTGATAAGATGTACCTCTCATCTATACTGGCATTAGAATAGTTTGGGAAGAATATAGTCGATGATGCTCTATATCCCTCCAGCAGATGGCGAATGTCAGCCGCGAAGCTGTTAAACGCCCGGGTTTCTGCAATTTGTGCTCGACTCTAGACAAATCATGATTCACTCTTATCCAACCTCAAATAGCCGCCCTGCGTCGCCAGCCAACAAAAGCATCCCTGTCCGGTGAGTTGGTTTGGTCGGTCTGATATTGATCCGACTCGCAGCCTTGTGTTACCCCGCTCCGAAGTATCAGTCCACAGCTGCATCTTTCAACTTCCAGGTGGTTGCCATCCCGCGCTGTGTCAGAATACAAGACCGCCTCATATCGACAAGATGAGGCTATTCAGTGCGCTTTTTGTGCTGCTGGCTGTTGGCGTATATAGTGCCGACCTTGGAGGTAAGTGCTCCCGACATATGTCCACATCTCGGTCACTAAAATGAGGACGTACTGCACAAGCGCTCTCAGCCGCCGCCCTCGATCATAACGAACATGATCAATTTCTAACTCCTCAAAACAACTTTAATGGCTGGGTGAATCCTGAAGATCTCAGGCCCATGCCACAATGCATAGCGCAGCAAGATCAGTCGACCTGGCTCGATACTATGACGAAATGTACTGCCAAACGATGCACTTCCCATTTTGGCCTCTTTTGCACCCATAACCAATGGTTGACTCAGCTCGGCTGTCTCAGCGTTGCATTTTCCTCAGATGTCATCGAGAGGTATCTCCCATACTGTGGTAGATCAACACTCGCCAAGGCGCAATTGTTTTCATGGATTCATGATATTACGGGCAGGGAGTGGCTTGTCGAGGTCGGCGACACGAATGAGCTCCAGGCTCTTTCCCCAGCCTCACTAGCCGAGGGGTACACGACTGTGGACGTTATCAACACGGCGCCGAAATGCCTCACCAGCTCGGCATGTGCTCTCTCAAAGGAGCCTTTCCAACACGTCATAGCCTCCTGTGGCTTTACAGGCGCGAGTCAACACACCGGAAATGCTGCCCGTCCTTGGGAGTATAACGAACATGTGCGGTCCATGATCGCTCTCGATTCGGAGACAGTTGGCTATGACCTTACTGGGCATCATATAACTGATGACTACTATTTTGACAAGGGCTGTTTCTGCAGCGCCTTCACAGTAGATCTCGAAGAGGAGCCTTGTTCAAATTCAGAACGATTGGACTGGACGAAACAGCGCCTGTGGCTCAATGCAACCTGTGGATCAAAGTCCTTACCCGATAACTGGACGGATGCACTTATGACCACACAATTCGCGTTTATTGCGCTCGAGGACTGGAGCTGGCCCAAGTGTGTCGTGGATATGCCAAAGAAAGTTACTGATCTCAAAGATCAGTGTGCAGCTGATGCGTGTGAGCTCGATTCTAGCGGATACTGCCAAGTCACGCGTGCAGTTGACAGAGAATGCTTTTGTCACAATATCAGTTATGATTCCTGTGAGGGTTCGTGCCAGATATTCGAAACCCGAATAGAGTATATCGAGTGGCTTCAAAATCTTTGTGGTAATATCCAGGACTGGAACGGTCTGCCGGATAACTGGCGTCAGCTATCTGCACCCACCCTGGTCGAGATGGTTCCATGGCAATGGGCTCTCAAGCCTTCCATGGCACCGGATAGTCAGCCTGGAGACATCAAAGCAACAGAAGCATGTCCCCCAACTCAGTGGAAATTTGAAAGTTTTGCTATTGTGAACATAGCTACTTTCTGCGCATTGCTCCTCAGTCATAAAAAAAACATGCGTCGAAGCAAACACATTCACTCAGAACACTCACCACAGCCGTTGGGCTGGGCTTTCAAGGGCATTATTCTCGCCACTGTCCAGATCTTTGCCCACTTTTCCAGTTCCATACTGGTCCAGAACGTTCGCGGATATGAAGAAGTTTCCATATTCCAACTGATGCTTCTCTGGTGTTCAATGCCTCGTCTTTCTTGGCTAGCGATGTTGTTACTTGGTCTACAACAATTCGGGCCAAATAACCTTTCCGCAGCTGCGTCTCTGTTATTTGCGGAAATACTCCTTCAATCCTTATCCGCATATTACTTACTCATAACAGTCTATTATGGCTATGAACACAACTTCTATCTCGGCACTGTAGATATATGGGCACCTGCAAAGGTCATGTACGCCGGAGCACTAATGTGGCTATTCATCGTTATGATGGCATTCGCTGTAACAATTGGGGCGATGCGCAAGATGGAAAAGTCCCATAGATCCGTGTTCACGTCACTAGATATCTCCGAAGGAATGCCGCCCATAATCGAATATTACAACTTCTTAACGGGAAGGATATCCTATCCAGCGACTAGAAGGCCAAGGGCCCCGGAAGAAGCACCATTGATGTGGGGCCAAAACGATCGCACAACTTATGATCCTCTCCTCGTCAAGGCTCGCCACACTTCGCTACCCCAAAGGCCAGGTCTTGCGGAATTGTATGCGGCTACTACCAGTTTCTTACTTCTTCTTTGGATTGCACAATTGCTCTTCTGGGGTGGATTTATCGGTCTGAGTTCTGATGAGTACGTATTTCTTGCATGAGCATTGTCAATTGTGGTCCATATCGGCTAACAAGCTATGCTTAGGTTCTGCCCCCCAATACTTGGGGTCCTCACAGCTGTGTGGATGACTTCCTCGCTGGTGGGCACTATTATTGTTTTTTATTAGGTTTCCTTATTTGGATGAAATCTATGTGCCTTTCTCTCTTTCGCTACAAGTAGCCTATATATAAGACACGAGATTGTTCAAACTAAATTTTTCCAGCTTACCCTACATCTGCGTGATAAGAGACCCTCCGGGTCAAGTGAAGGGCTTCCCAATTCTGATAGAACGGTGTCAAACGCTGCTTCTGTGTTAACGACCTACCAGATGTCGAACCATTGACTTTGTTCCTCCCACTCGTTTCGATTTATGATTTTGTCCATGTACACCCTCTGTAGATTTCATCAGTAAAGACCTCCTACATTGGGATGCGGGACTCACCTTCATAAGCCTGCGAGAATATGCATCTCCAATAATCTTCCAATGAGAGCCTTCCTGTCTCATTACAAAGCATCTAGGGCTTCCGGAAAGGATGCAGAGATAGTCACCAGCCTGGGTGTTAGGCACGCCCATTCCAATCAATCCATTGGCTGTTGTGAAAAATCGGCGGTTTAATGAGCGGCCCATGTTATTCAGGTAACTTGGAGATAGTTGCTCCCTGCCACTTTCTGACGCTGATTTGCACCAATCAACAAACTCCTGGTACTCTGAGGCGAGGGTCTCGTCAGCGTCAAGGTCGAGGCAAAGTCCATTTATACCGCAGATAAATGTCAACTTCAGGTCATCTTGGGCTACCGAGTTACCGTGCTTGTGACACAGCTTGTTGGTCTGCTTCACACACCGCAGAATGAGAGGTGCCAGCCTTTTGCCGATCCCGAGAGTCTCTGACGAGAATACTTCACAGGTATAGGTTACATGGGTGACAATCAGTCCTTTAACGCTCAGCACAAATGGGTCGCTCAATGACCTCGTCTGGAATGACCAGTCCGACTTCTCAAATACCTGAGTGTTCAGGCAGGACCCATAAGCACTATCAGTGCTCGCATGCAACTTCAAGACCCACGAGGGCCACCTCTGAGATTCTACAGTCCCTCTCGATAGACACAGCATCTTTCGAAAATTTTCACTTAGTCGCATCAATGCTCTTCTCTTGGTGGGCTTCTCAACCCACCATGCGAGGAAGTGCAGTACTTGGAGACCCCCATCCTCCTCGAACGCAAGCCGGAGCGCATGCGCATATACCGCAACGTGCGGGATCGTATAATCCGGTACAATGCGATTGGCAAAATGGGGACTTGATAGGCCAAGTATGCTATAGACTCGATCTCGCGGGTCTTTGCAACGCTTCGAGCGCATTCGCCGGACCAGTCCGCTCAGGGGCGCGCCGATGGGACGATGCATAGAGGAGGCATTTTCGATGCCCTCGATCCAAGCACCTTCATAGTACTTTTGATAACACCGGTGCACCATCCAGTTCGCAGCCTGTATAAGTATTTCTGCAGCGATCGTGTGCTGGTCGATGTAACAAGTGGCCATTCTGGCCAATCCGACCTCCTGCACCACCCACAGTCGGGTGAACCAGGGGAACGAGTATAGAGCCTGCAGCGCCTTCCAGTCACAATCAGCTGGCAAAGGCGCATCTGCGTATCTGTAAGATGATCGGTCGGGACCATATAGATGCAAATCATAGTCCTCCAAGTTATTGGTCTCCTCTAGGCAATGATCATATACGCGATGGGCCGAGGCAATGGCGCTGATGGTGACGTCCGAATCCAGGTGACCCAGCCAAACCCGCACTTCGCGCGCATGCGAATAAATATCTTTCATGATGGCAACCTGGTGACCTTTTTCGGCCGCGTCCTGCTGGTTAATGCAGATTGCATCAATCCAAAAATGTTCATCCGTTCCAACTTGTGCTAAATTGTGCAAAGTGGAAGCAGCGCTCTTTGGCACTTTCGCCTCTCTGCCGTCAACCTTGACAATCTCTTCATCCGTACTCGTGCCCCAGAAATATGATATCGCAGCATACGGCTTAGGTACTTGTGCATCCAATGACGTATGCTCTAGTAAACACTCCAGAGGGCCATTCCCACCATCGCTGCCCGGTCTGGCATTAACACGCAAGAGGCGAATTTCACGGTGCGTTTTGGACAGCTGGCGATAGACGATTGTTTGTGCCATGGTTGCACAGTCGTATTGGTGGCAAGCAGGTATATATCAGAAGATATTTTGTTCTTGATTCGTCTCAATTATTTAGTAAGAGGAGCTGAGTTTTAGTCTTACTGACATTGAAAAGGGTGCCCCGCGCGGAATCCAGGGTTATATAGAAGGATACCCGAGATGAAGCAAACGGGACGACTCAGCTACAATTCAGAAAGGAAAGAGCAAGGCGCTAAATACCACGACCATTTGACATGACTGGGGATGAATACGAGGGGCTGCTGTTCAGCTCGCTGCAGGGGTTCCATTCCTCCTTTCTACTAGTGTTCGGGGACCTGGTAACATCATTGATTGGTTTACAATGGAGCTTAGGGATACGGATGCCGTGCAGTCCACGAGAGCGGAGTGTGTACGTGGAATCTGAACCACTCATCCCCCCTCCCTATTGGGCTTCAAACGCGACAATCACTGCTGCAGACCAATTGGAAGATGACACAGCATACATACGTAAGAAGATCAAGGTGATCTTCCAGCAGCCTTGCGCAAGCATCTTGGTACGCCCCGTCCCGTGGCGGGGATATGGGCATGCGTCGCTTGACTAGTATCGCAGATCCCATTTATTCCCTTCTGTCTGTTCATTGGCTATATGTTGTGGCCACTCGCCGATAGTATTCTCAGGTGGTGAAGTGTACTGTAGTTTCTTTTGTTATCGTTCACGAATCAGAATTTTTCGACCCAACAGGTTTCAGCTTTTCTTTCAAATGGCGGGCTAACATATCCTACTTGCCAGATAGAATCCTGTGTATAATGATCAAAAGGTAGCATATGTCCAAAGTCCAGTGTTTCTGCTAGTATAGCAAAGAATGACAGTTTCTACCTTGGGAAACATTCACACTGCAATGTCATACTCCCGCGCTCTCTGGCGACTATCACCACTGAGCACACCGAACTGGTAAAGCTAATCTATGCTTACTCGAGTTTCACATTGACGAGGCCTCATAGAGTAACTCGCAGAAAGCTAATTGTTCAAGGTTGCTGGGGTGCTGATACTTGAACAACCTGAAACACGTGCCGAATCCAAAATGACCGAATATAGAAGGATGACAACCAGCTTCGAACGGTACCAAGAGGGCTCTGAAATGTAACAAGGGAGCTTCTAGCACAGGAGCTGCTGTTTCTATGGTGAATACCAGCAGGGCAGATCCAGTGAAGGGAAATAGCGCTAAGGATCGGAATTTTGGTATTCCCGGAGCCATGTTCAATAAAATTTTGTATTTGGGGGAAGACCTTGTTTTTGGTCCTCTTGCTAGAAAGGACGTTAGAACCTGAGGGCTTGGGATGTTTCGGAATGGCACAAACCAAGACGTTTCCGAAGCTGGCAACAAGCTCATCTTCGTATTTACTGTACTTTTCTTCCTCAGGCCCCGTACTGTTGAAGGTCGTTGAAACGTCAAAGTCAACCCATACCAGCCTCTTTTTGCTTCCTCCCTCTGATAGAAGAATATTTTTGGGGTATATATCCCTATGGTGAACATGGGCATTGTGTATTTCTTTCATGCCTTCAATTGCTGTGTTATAAAGGGCCTTTGAATAATTAACACAGTTCAGGCTTTCAGCTGCTGGAAGATACTCGAGGAGAATTGCACTAGGATGCAATTTATCATGAGTGAAATGCCGTAGGGCTGGCTGAAATGTAGATGGATCAAGCCGATCGATATAACCATAGAAATATGGAACAAATCCGCGGTCACACACGCCATGACGGAGCAGGTTCATGTAGGCTTGTAGCTCACAGCGGTATCTAATCAAGTCTCGCCCCCGCTCCGTGAACCCGGGATCCCCATTATCATGATACTGAGTTATTAGTGGCAGTAAGATAGAGGAAGCAATCCCTACTTACAACTTTCAGGGCGTATGTCACATTGTCAAGTGTTATCTCAAAAATTGAGGAAGCTGGAGAGCTTGAAAGCTCTCTTACGAACTGTATGCTCGAGTTCTCGGGATTCAATCGACAATTGTTCACTAATCGCATGTTGGTTGTATGTATTCCTTGAACTGCGAGGTTTTATTCAAGGGATGGTATACTAATGTAGGTTACGCAGGAGTAATACTTATCAAATCTTGTGATAATGATAGTCACCTGATGCTGGTCGAGAAGATCTTCGGATCTACTAATCGCTGATGAACTACCACTACGTACTTTGTTAAATCGCGCCCCGCACTTATGTGGATCCCAAACCGTGGAACCCTCATGCCGAGCTCTTGTATCGCCCCAGTCCTTTTACTTGCAAAATGAGCCAAACATTGCTGCAGTACCTTTCTGTTGCCCTTCCAGCAATACCAGTTGGAGGTACTGCACCATCTCGTAACACCTCTAACCCCCGATATGGTGCCGATGATATAACCCAAGTTCTGTCTTGGACAGACTTCAATTACTCCACAATCATTCAACACTATGGCCATATGTTAAACTCGAAACAAATCCGCTGTGACCCGTTCTTATCTCCTCCTGCTTTTATTAGAGATAAATCCCGCTTCCATACCCGATTCGCCGAGTTGGTTTTGCCTCGTATTAGACGTGCACTGCGTGCTGGGTTCGAGCAACTCGCACCAGAGCTACCGGCCCGCCGACTTTCACCAGTTACCTTCGATGGAGGAAGCGCGGCTGCTATCATCGATGAGTTCCGACCAGATACTGCATACATCGTAGTCGGAAGTGGAATCTCGAACGCTAATCGCGCACCGGGTGATCTGAAACTATCTTGGACATGGCAGTCTTCCTGGCGAAGCTCTCAAGACCCAATTTTCCACCGAGAGTACAAGCAGGCTTTGTCTCAGGTTAATTCCTATATGGATCAACATACCGCCAGGCATGGGTTTATCCTAACAAATACGGAACTTATCGCTGTTAAGCGATTGGACAGAAACGGCTGCCTGGCTGTCTCCACGGCGATCCCATGGACGGTGGGAGGCGAAGGACAATTGTCTGTACTTCTGGCTTTATGGTATATTGGTATGCTTGCGGCAGAGGAGGATAATTGGGCTCTGGTTGTTTGAACAGAGATTCCAAGTAACATACGCGGTTGGATGCACATTACAGCATTGATTTGTATATACTCCACATCCTGGCGGAATCGGAGTGCCGTACTTTGATATTGACGGTAAGTATTGCGCTATATTCACCAAATTTGAAGAAAATTGTTGGTTATACCGCGTCTCATCCAGTCAAAGGAAATGTGCAAATGGTTTCCCGGCCGTCGTGTGTGACTACGACACAAGCAGCTATCGGTCTAGATAAAGTGAGACTATATTGCATACAGCATTGTCAAAGGGAATGTGAGCTTCACAGCAACATTCTTATGTCTGATCTGCTTTCCATATAGCATGGTATGCTCCATCGTTGAGAACCATTTGAGTGCGAGCCATCTTCGCCCATGGATAAAAAATCTGATATAGAACAAATAAAACAAAGTATCCTGGGGCTACATAACAAGTGGAAGAGAATATCGCGGGCCTCGCCATATAACTTACAATCTCAACTATATGAACAAGTGAGGTTGCTAGGTAATCTTGTATCGTGCCCATCGTAATTCGTACAGTAAACATTATCGCAATATAAAATCGTTGTTTCAAGTTAGAGTGTAGCCACCGTCAACACGGAGATCAGCTCCCGTAACGTAGCGGGAAGCATCACTCAAAAGGAAAGTAACAGCACCCATCAGGTCCTCTGGAGTACCCATCTTGCCTGTGGGAATAAGAGATATCCACTTATCGCGGAGCTCAGGATTCTCCTCGAGGATTTTCCGAGTACTATAAAACATTAGCAGCTTTCAGTAAAAACAACCCACGCGGATACTCACAGTGCAGTGAGCATATATCCGGGACTGATACAGTTAACGCGAATGCCATGCTGGGCCCACTCAACGGCGAAAGAAGAAGCAAGGTGACGGACAGCGGCTTTTGCTGCATTGTAGGGGGCCTGAGGCTGGGGAACGTTAACAATAGCACCAGACATGCTACCTATCATGACGATGCTGCCCGGTGCCTTGCGCTCCATGAGGTGCTTGGCGACTCCGGTAGCGAACAAATAGGTCCCATCTACATTAACACCCCACAACTTCTGCATTCGATCGTAAGGGTACGAAATGGCGTCAAAGTTCTCAGTAAATCCAGCAGAAGTAACTAGGTGATCAATCTTCCCGTGCTTCTCAATGACTTCTGCAATGGCATTGTTCACAGATTCGGGGTTGGACACATCGGCGTAGTGAGCGGTGACGGTGGGCAATCTTGAAGAACCATTAGCATTCAAGTTTCTTTCCCTACGGCATAACCAACATACTGGTCTGACTCAAGACCCGGATTCTCCTTTTGAAATTGCTCCACGAGCTTTGCGGCCTGGTCCTGCGCTTCCTCTCCTGGAGTCATGTCAGTGATTTCGAGTGATTGTCCTGGTATGCTTAGCACGTACTATTCAAGTCAACAATGGCCACATCCGATCCTGAAGCTACAATTGCCTGGGACATGGTCAATCCCAGGCCACGAGCACCACCAGTCACAAGAGTAACCCTGTTCTCGAGCGAAAACTGAGCCAGTGTACGCTTGAAATGCATACCACCACGACCCTGAACGATTGGAGATCGAGGCATATTCTCGTCATCAGGGTATTCAAACTTGACATTCTCGTCCGTACGCGCAAAACGACCTTCTGTCTCTCCCAATGTGCCCTCAGGAGCTTTGTTGGTCGCTGTTAGTAAGGGGTCTTTCTTGATATTATCGTCTTTGTTCAGACGGAGAGCCGTTGATGAGAGTGAGCGGACAAAGGTATCTAAAGATCGCTGCTTTGTAGCTGCCGACACAGCGGGCCATGGTGACTGAGAAAGTGCTTTGGCAGCTTGACGGACGATGGTGGATCTGGACATTGTGTATGTGAAGGCAAGCAAGCAAGCTCTGCAATTATTATTAAATGGGCATCAGTGGTGCTCAACTGCAGCGAGGAAATGAAGTGATGGTTGAGTGAAGCATGTGCTGTGGGAGGCAATCGCTAGGACATGATATCCGACTTACCTTCACACAGAATTATCTGGTCACAAAAGGTGTGGTGGAGCCTACCTTGGGTCCAGGCAAATGAGAAGGAGAGGCTCGAATGGCCAGAATTTCCCTTGTGTCGACGATGGCAATGTTTCCCCGCGGCGGCAAATCAGGAAAACACAGAGATAGTAATGAAAGAAACGTCAAAAATCCCAAGCAGTACCTTTCGGCAGATGATTGAGCAGGTCATCCATGGCAATAATAGAATTGGCTCCGAAGAGGCAGAGCTGCGAGTTGCAGAGACTGGGATCCGCCAAGGATAGCGAGAGGAAACCAGTCAGATCAGCTTTGCTGTCAGGAAGATATGGTGACAGTGTATTTTGCAGCCCGTGTACTCCGTATTTTTCTCTGACTTGTTTCAATGTGATGTCAGGCGCCGATGCTAGCCAGGGCCAGGCCCCAACCGCCATGCAGTGATCGGACGCTGATCTGTTCCCCGACTGGAGCTGCAAGCTTCCTTTGCAGTCCGCGTGACTCGCCCCTACGCCACTGCTATCAAACCCCCAGGTATCAGGATACTTGTTTTGAGGTTCTTTGACTTTCTTTCTATTTCTCTGCAAAATTCTGTCTCTTATCGGCATGCACTATAGGCTCAACCACCCCATAGACACTGTCTCCTCTCAACACACTCACCGGGAGAAGTCCCGAAGCTCCCGGTGCGCATTGGGCACCTGAAGTAGCCACTACGGATGATGCGAGATGTCAAACTCAATTCGTAGGGCCACAAGGCGCTACTCAAGTACCGGCATGCCTTATATACATTATGTGGGCCTTTAATCTCACCTGGCCACATGATCAATACTTCAACTTTTGAGGTCTGCATTTCTACCCTATGGTTTGGATTTTGGGTTGCGTATCCTAAAGTTGGGATCAGGAACACTAGCCATATGCTTTACCCCAGTTTCTGTCCATGGTTATACCTCACAGGACAGCCATATCCTCCAATACATTCCAGCTGCGGCCATTTTCATGTTAGAAACCATCTGTATTTGTGGTACAAAGTACTGCTACTACGCAGCTGAATTGATCGGTCAACTCGTGATGTGTGCACCACCAATCTACTGTCTACAAAGTAGTCTATAGTCTTGTTCGGGTTTGAGTGCGCTAAAAGTGACGGGTGGGTACGGGGTGGAGACCACTGGGTCAGGATCGCAGCTAGCTCGATTCGAGACCCATCTCTGATGTTAAATTGTACAAATGTGTTGTGTAGAGTCTAGACTCGTGGTTTTCTTCAATGCATTGTATGCGTGGTGCGGTTGCAAACGAAAGGTTATACAGATTGAGTATGCAAGTAGTCAAACCGCTGCACATGTCAGATTGTCCGCCATTAGAAGACCGCTCAAAACATATATTCTGGTTACATGTCCACATGGCATGCTCAGCACCTCCCCGGTCGGAGAGCACTTTGCTGCAATTATGTTATTTGGTTCTTGTTCCTATCAGTATCGGAGTAACTCTCAGACCACTGTGTACTTCAAAGGGCAGTATCTCCATACATTACATCCAAGCTACCGGTGTACATGCCACAAAATTCCCGGATTCTAGTCACCCCAACATGGTCACAGTTGAACCACGTATCGCTTACTCACCGCCCTCTTCGAATTCAACCAGCGGTGTCCCGCTTTTACATTGATCCTGTAAAGTACCTGTTAGCAATGGCCAGCATTGAAGTATACGCATTGACAGCTAGAGTGGAGCAATGCTTGTGAGCTGAAGAGAGAACCCAGATGTCCCTTGGCAGGCCGAGCCCAGGCTGTTCCAGCATGGCGAGGCTCAGGTCGACCCAGTCTCGGGACGAGGTAGTCATCTTCAGGGATGCTGGCGGTCATGACCGGGAATGGGTGGGGGCCGCGTGACTTACTCCTGCTTTATGTACCACCTTGGAGATGGTGCCCCTCTGTGGGCTGCGAATGACTGTTTCCATCTTCATACTCTCAATCACCACCAGTGGCTGGTCCTTTTCTACCACATCGCCTGCCTCTACCTCAACACGCAGCACCTTGCATGGCATCGGTGCGAGAACACTGTTCGTGACGTCCTTCATTCCCAACGCCTTCTCCATCCACTTGGCGCGTGGGATCGTTAGGCGGTATTGGGTACCCCGCTGAAAAGCGATGATCGTGTCCTCATCGCGGATCACCGTCGTGTCCAGGCGTGTGTGAGGGAAGAAGGAGGTAACAACTTTCGAAGCAGGGTCACGATGGCTTACAACTTGCTCGAATGAACGTCCTCCAACATCAACGTTGAATGTGTCATCACCCGTCTGTTGCACCCTAACGTCAAATTTGGAGTCGTTCTTTGTTCCCGGTGTTAGTTCGGCAAGCGAGATCTGTCGTGCCTGGTATCCTGGGCCAAAGCCAACGGCAGAGCCTTCAAAGTTGGCTTGCGTTCTACTTCCCGGGTTCGAATCGTGGTGAAGACAGGCCAGAGCCACCTGGGCCAACACCTCAGGCTCAATCGCCTCCCGTGTGAATAGCTCCTCGCGATGCTTCTCGATGTAACCGGTCTCCACATTCCCGCTAATGAAATCAGGACTTCTGCAGACAGTTTTCAGGAACTCAATGTTCGTGATTGGACCCGCCACTTCATACTCCTCTAATGCATTCGCAAGTTTGCGGATCGCCTCTTCGCGAGTGTTGCCCCGCACAATTAATTTTGCGATCATGGGATCATAATGTGCCGAGACATCGTCGCCTGCGACGAATCCGGCGTCTATCCTCACATCATCAGTAGCGGCGGGAGTACGGACATGGAGCAAAGTGCCGGAGTCTGGAATAAAACCCTGGTCAGGGTTCTCAGCGTAAATCCTAGCTTCGATAGCATGCCCGCGACTGGCCATAAAAGCCTCCACATCTTCCTGGGTTAGGGGAAGTGGGGCGCCTTCCGCGATTTTGAGCTGCCAGTGCACAAGATCCTGACCGGTGACCATTTCGGTTACGGGATGCTCCACCTGGAGTCTAGTGTTCATCTCCATGAAGAAGAACTCGCCAGTATCATTGTCGAAGATGAACTCCACGGTACCAGCACCCTCGTAGCCAACAGCCAACGCAGCAGATCGGGCTTTTGCCCAGATATCTTTTCTTGTTGCATCGGGAAGGTGCGGAGCAGGCGACTCCTCAAGGATCTTCTGGTGTCTTCTTTGTATACTACAGTCCCGCTCTCCGAGAGCAACAGCGTTCCCTTGCTTGTCTGCAAAGACTTGCACTTCAATGTGGCGGGGTGTGGTAATGTACTTCTCCACCAGTACGTGATCGTCCCCGAATGAATTCATAGCCTCGGATTTGGCAGACTGCAGCTGTGCCTGAAAGTCGGCTTTGGTATGAGCGATGCGCATTCCTTTGCCGCCGCCGCCCTTGATTGCCTTGATCAGCACGGGGTACTTGATCTTGTCGGCCTCGGCTTCAAGGAAGTTGACATCCTGGTTGTCGCCATGATAACCGGGTACGCACGGTACTCCAGCAGCAGTCATGATCTTCTTGGATTGACTTATGACTGTCAGCCTATGCTCACAAGAGTGCGTTCATCATGTTACCTCTTGTCACCCATGTCTTCGATAGCCTTCCAAGGAGGTCCAATGAAGACCAGTCCAGCTTCCGTACACTTCCGCGCAAATGCCGCATTCTCACTCAGCTGTAACGGGGTTGGAAATATTAGTATCTTCGCAGCTTGTGTGTAACGACAGCACTCACGAAGCCGTAACCGGGGTGTATCCCTTGGCAGCCTTCCTTCTTGGCAATCTCAATAATTCGATCTCCATCGAGGTAAGCGGAGACGGATCCTAAGTTAAAGGCAAATGGCGAGCTCAGCGCATGCTGAGCCTTGCTATCCGGATCGGTGTAGAGCGTCGTTACTCGGATTCCGTGTTGAGCAGCGGTCCGTCCAACGCGACTGCAACAGATCACCCCATGTTAGTACTGACTATCAACAAAAGTACCAGAAAGCTCCCTCAGGGATAAGACGCACAGCGCAATTTCTCCTCTATTTGCGATTAAAATAGAGTCCAGTGATTTCTCGGCCTTGGGCGTCGTGGTGGACACGGTGGAGGCCGCTCTTCTGAACCTTCGAACTACCGGCGGCCCCAGGCGGGACGAAGTGCGGAGAAGAGAGGAGAGCGGCATTGTAAGAGAGGCGGCTGATCAGTTGAGTGCCACGAAAGATGATCCAACACCACAGGGAAAGGGCACGCTCATAAAGCAGCTAGCATATCCAAAAGTACGAGTGACATGGATTTGGAATGACACCAAGCTCCCCCAGCCGAGCTTCTTGTACGGCGCTGCAACGCACCCCTTCAGCCGACGCAAAGCGCAGCTGCGGGGAAGCAGCGGGCACGTGACGGGTGAGATCCACCCGCCGGTTTTTTCAAGATTCCAGCCAGCCAGACCATTGCATCACGTCCTGCGCCGTGCCTGAGGAGTGGCTTTTGATCTGCGCTTCGAGTTTACCTACCCTTAATTGTGTTGAAGTGGTCGCCTATTGCAGCGCTTTCCATTAGACTTTGTCTTGAACTCTCTCTTCAGTTTGCTGTGTTGTGCGATCGTTTACTTCCCTTTTCATTCGCTATCGGCCACATCCCCAAATTTGCTTACATTTTCACCACCCTCACCACATCTAATACTTTCTCACATCGGCAACCATGTCTGATGACGAAGATTACTATGATGATTATGACGAAGACATCTTCTGGGTAGAAGAACCAGATCCAACTGTCGCTGTACGTTTCCACCCCCTTTTTTCTTCCACCTCTTATACCTCTGTCCCCACCCAATCCCTTCAGATGACCCAAAATTAACACAGCAATATACTATAGGACGATCTCGCCGCGACAGCAACCGCAACAAATGACTTGATCTTCTATGACGACCCGGCCCTCGAAGCCGAAGAATTCTTCAGCGACTGGGACGATCTCTCCGACGATTACTACGATCAGGACCCGACCGCAGTCCGACGTCAACGTGCCCTCAACGCCCTTCTAGCCCAAAAGACCCTCTCCGCTGGTATTCCGCCCACGAAACGCAGTTGGAAGCACCCCTCCAAGGGCCTGTTCGATATCG